GAAGTTGTTGTCGGGAAGCATTTTGAATTTCTTGGAATTTAGTGTTTACAGCATTTACTCATCTTTCTCTTTCCGGACTATCATTAGCAAATAGTTCGGGTTGAGTTCTCAACATTAAGAGAGGATGAGTTAATTGCCAGGCCTGAACGTCTTTTTGCTTTAAATCTCTTAATTCTTCAACAAACTCGGTGTCATTGTAAATGAAGTCAGTTAATTTTTCGGCCGGTAGGTATTCTAAGCCTCCTCTAATGTTAGGTTGTCGACCGATATTCAACCTTCGCAAGTCTCGACAATTACTTAGGGCCGCTAGCGAACCGGAAAAATTGTTGTTATTAGAAAAATTCGAGTTTGTTGATAGTTGGTCTTGCCGAACCATAAATTTACTTATCATAGCATAACCCGTTCTGAGAACCCTAATTCCTATTTCTAAGTCCCTCAATTTGGTTAAATGAGAAAAAATATCAAGATTAGCCTTAATTTTATTTGCTTTTACATCAATTACTTCTAAATTAGGATTATTCTCCAAATTTAATTTTTCTAAATCATTAGAAGAGCAGTTAAGTTTAATCAACTTCTCATTTTTACTTAGGTCAAGTTTTTCTATTTTATTATCTTCACAATTCAATTTTTCTAAATTCGGACAGTTACTCAAATTCAGAGACGTTATTTCATTGTGAGGGCAATCAAGTTCCCGCAAATTCACAAAATCCCGCAAATCCCATTCACCTCCTATCTTCTTTTCTCAGACATGGAATTCTTCTTTTCTTTTTCGTTTTTTTCGAGGAATTTCTCGTTCTAGGCGTTCATTGCTCTCATATTCGTTAATTTGGCTCTCTTGTCACTCCTCGATATCATTTTTAAAATCTTTCTCCAATTTCTCCATTTCCTTTTTTAATATTCGGCCAATGTTAGAACCGTCGCACTTGAAACAAATTAGTCTGTTTGGCAAATCTTCTAATCTGCCGTCAATCTCTTTTACTCCACTATTATTTTTGATTTTAAACTTTTTCAGTTTTCCACATCGCTTCAATTCTTTTAACTCACCATAAAATTTACTATTTTTTAAAGACAAGTGCTTCAAACCAAGCAAGTGAGAAAAAATTTTGATATCGAGTTCAGTAACATTTTGGTCGATAACAATTTTTTTTAAGCCATGATTATTACTCAGATTTAAGTCAGTTAGTTTGGTATTATAAATCTGAAATTCTTCTAAATTTACGTATTCCTTTAAATCTAAACTACCGTTAAGTCCTTGTCGTGATAATGAAAACCACAAATCAATCATCCTAACGTCTTTTCTTTCCTTGCTCGGATATCTTTGATCAAAATACTCTTGAAAACTCATTTCCAGTCCCCTACATGTGTTTTCTGTTTCTGTTGACGATGTTGATTGTTCGTTTCCCATAATACTTATTATTTTAAAGTTTTAAAACTTTAAGTAGTTTTAATTCCTTTTTTAATCTTCAAATCGGATTCTTTTTTGAGTTACCACGTAATACTCGCCTTTTTCCAAAAAAAGTTTTTCAATAGTCATTATTCCTAATAACAATTTGGAGAAGTTTTTTCGTTGCTCTTTTTTTGCACTTCCTCTTTTATGAAAAATTCTTTTCTCTTCTTCTTGTTTTCTCCCCTTCTTCTATTCATTTTAAAAAACAAAAAGTTAATATTGTGCCGAGTGCTTATTTATTTTGATTAATATAAAAAATAAAACGATAATTTATGAATGATTACCAAAAACCTACGAAGTCTAAGATGACTTGAAGAAATTGGCCATGAGAAAAAATAATCCCAATATTGGTTATTTTATTATCTCTTTTTTTCACGTGATTAATCATTTCTCGGTTTTTCAATGTAAGTTGGGGTGGGATTTGGGTTTTAATTAAGTCTTTGCTTGGCCAAGAGGAGGAAGTAATAATTGCCCCTACCTCATTTGCCCCATTTGCCGGAAGAGCACACAGAATGAGTATTAGTTGGACCGAATGCATTACTACTATTATCACCCGTTTTTTTAGTCGTTTTAGTTGAGACTTACCAAGAATAAATGAAGTTAGAACCGGAATAGAAAATTCCTGGGGAGGAAAAACAATTCTCTGGCTTTTTTTAGGAAGATTTCGTAGTTGATGTTGAGATAGTGATGGAGTACAAAGATTAAGTGCCTTTATTCTTTTAGATATTTTCTTTTGTTTTAAATTTGTATGAGGAGTTACTTACAATCTAATTTATTGAATAATTTCCCAAATCTACTCGTTTTCTAATAAAAGGGAAAAATAAGTTTATGGCGAAATCTTTTTATCTTACTACTCCGATTTTTTATCCTAATGACCGCTTACATTTAGGGCATGCTTACACTATGGTGGTAGCGGATGTTATTGTTCGCTACAAAAAAAGCCAAGGTTATCAAGTTTATCTCCAAACTGGTAGCGACGACCACGGAGAAAAAATTGCTAAAAGAGCCGCCGCTCTAAATATTTCCCCAGCCGAGTTAGTGGCTAAAAATGGGGAATTGTTTCGGCAATTATGAAAAAAATTAAATATTTCACCCCACAATTTTTATCGCACTTCCACTCCACAGCACCAAGAAAAAGTGCAAAAAGTCTTTACCAAGTTGCTAGAACAAGATGACATTTATTTGGGAAAATATCAAGGTAATTACTGCGTTACTTGTGAGGATTACGTTAGTCTGAGCCAAAGTCAAAATAATTTTTGCTCAGCTTGTCAAACTAGTTTAAAAACTATCGAAGAAAAAGCCTATTTTTTACGAATTGGCAAGTATCAAAAACGACTATTAGAATATTGACAAAAAACCGATTTTCTTAGTCCGCTCACGATTAAAAACGAGTTGCTGGCTAATTTTCTGCAAAAACCTTTGCCGGATTTGTGTATTACTCGTAGTGATGTCGAATGAGGAATTCCGGTGCCTAACGAGGAAAAATTAACTATCTACGTGTGATTTGAGGCCTTACTTAATTATCTTAACTCCCCAGTCGGAGAGTATTTTTTCTTCCCGACCGCACCTGCTGATAGTAAAGTTAAGGAGTTTGCTTGTGTAGCCATTGCTAACCAAAAAAATCAGTATCTTTTAGTCTACCACAAAAAAAGGGACCGCTGAGTGTTCCCGGGAGGAAAAATAGAACCGAACGAAACACCGGAAGCTGCTGCCAAAAGAGAAATATTGGAAGAAACTAATTTAACAATTACAGATTTAGAAAGAATTGGTGAAGAAACTTTTCATGTTAATAATATTTGGTGAAAAGGTTATTTTTATCAAACCCAAAAATATTCTGGCTCGGTAACAATCAAAGCCCAAGAGAAAGAAGCAATAGAAAAAATTAAATTTTTGACCATCCCAGAAATACAAGCAATTATTAAGCAAAAACCTGATAGGGGTGTGGAGTATGTAGTAGAAAAATTAACCGGTGCTGAAAAAAGAAAAAAATCTTGGGAAATTGTGCAAATAATCGGCAAAGATATTGCTCGCTTCCATGGTATTTATTGACCGATTATTTTAAGACTTTTGTCGGCCCGATTGCCTAATAGAATATTGGCTCATGGTTGAATAATGAGTGGTGCGGATAAGATGAGTAAAAGTAAAGGTAATGTTATCGACCCTTTGGAATTACTAAAAAAGTATCCGGCTGACTTACTAAGAGCCTATTTAGTTGCTAAAATCAACCTTTTGCAAGACGGGGTTTGTTCGGAAAATTTACTAAACGACTTTTATCAGCATTTTTTAGTAAACAATCTTAGTAATTTAGTGGCCCGAACCAGTAAGATGCTGCAACTTTATAATGAAAGAATTATCCCCGAATTCAATGGTTCGGTCAACAATCAAGAATTAAATAACTATTACTATTATTGCGATTTTTCGTATCAGGAGTTTAGGAAAAAAATGGATAATTACGAATTAACCAAAGCCTTTCAACAAGTCCAAGAATTAATAAACGAGAGTAATAAATTAATTACTACGCTTGCTCCTTGGCAACTTTACCAAGATAAAAATGTTAATCTTTTACACCCGACTTTAAATTATTTGGTTAACGGAATAAAAATTATTAGTTTCCTTCTGGCATTTTTTTTGCCGGAAACTAGCGATAATATTTACCAAATATTTAATTGGGAAAAGGAAAAAATAACTTGGGATAATTTATTGGACTTTAATCGTATAAGTCAAGTAAAAATAAACAGAGCGGGGGGGATTTATAATCGCCAGAATTGAGAAAAATAACTACTTAATTTTTTCGACATCTTGACTTTTTTGTGCTGGGCCACCGATTATTAAACACTAATTTAATATAAAGGAGAATGAAAAGATTAGTCAGAATCCGAGGATTGGCCGAAAAAGTTCAGTTAAAACTAAAAAGAGAGGAGGAGGTAATTTATGTTGAAAATTTAGATAAGTTAGAAAGACTATTAGCAAAGTTTCGGCAAGTGAAATTACCTAGCAATATCAAGCCTTTGGTGAGAATCGATACTGGTTATTTAACCAAAAAATACTTGCAGGAGTTGAGCCAAAAATATCCTTGCCAACAACCCGTTTCTCAGAAAAAAATTTTTTCTTATCGTCAAAAAAAGCACAGTTAATCCAATAAATCCAGTAAATATTTGCCGATTCAGAATGTCTATTTACAAACAGAATTTATAAGTTAATTACGTCATCCCTAAAGTCATGAAATTTTTTTCACTTTCTCGTAATCACATGACTTACTTTTTTTAGGAACGAATTAATTTTTTTATTTTCTCGGCCAAAAAGGAGAAATTGGAAATTTTAATGTCTTGCGTTCCGGCTTCTAGTTCTAACAAATAATTACCGCCACTTTTTAAAAATTGGGCGATAATGCCCCGGGCAATTAGGCTGCCAATTTGTTTTTCAAGGTATTTTTTCACCGGACGAGCACCGTATTCAGGCGAGTAGGCTTCCTGAAATATTTTCTCAATTACCTGTTGGTCGTAGTGTAATTTGATATTTTTTTCCTGGTCTACTCGTCGAATAAATAATGCTAATTCTTGCCTAATAATTTCCTGCACTACTTCGGCAGTTAAAGAATTAAAGAAAACTATTTCGTCGAGACGATTAAGAAATTCGGGTCGGAAATAACTTTTTAATGTGTGGTGTAATTTTCCTTCTAATTCGTCAGTTTCTCCTGGGGTAAAATATAATTCTGAGCCGAGGTTAGAAGTCAAAATGAGGATAGTATTACGAAAATTAACCTCGCGTCCGTCTGCTAATGTTAAAAAACCATTATCGAGGATTTGCAGCAGCAAATTAATTACTTCGGAATGGCATTTCTCAATTTCATCGAATAATAGCACGCTATGCATTTTTTCCCGCACGGCTGCTAAGCGTGGTTGGTCTTCAAAACCAATGTAGCCAGGGGGAGCACCAATAAGTTTGCTGATGGAGTGCGGTTCGGTAAATTCGGTCATGTCAAAACGCAGTAAGTTTTTTTCCTGGTCGAAAAGTTGTTCGGCAATAGTTAAGGCAACTTCGGTTTTTCCCACTCCGGTCGGCCCTAAAAAGAAAAAGGAAGCCAAGGGCCGATGGGGGTCCTGAATACCAGCCCGAGCCCGAAAAATGGCCTCGCTGACCACCCGTAAGGCGTGGTCTTGACCTTTAATTCGTTGGGCGAGAAGGCTGGGGAGAAAAAGGAGTTTTTGCTGTTCGTCTTGTAAAATTTTTCCTAAGGGCAAATCATACTTTTTAGCAATAGTTGTCGCAATGTCCTCTGGACTAATGGCGTATTTTCGCAAAGTGTTTTGGCTAGCCTGTTGTTCCAAACCACGGATTTTTTCTTGTAAGTGGGGGATAATTTGGTATTTGATTTCCCCAGCTTTGTTGTAGTCGATAGTTATTTGTTGGTAATTTTCTAGGGCTTTTTGGGCTTGGGCGAGGTTTTTTTGGGCTTGGTTTAATTGCTGAATGCGGGTGCTTTCTTGGTGGTCTTGTTGGCTTAATTTGGTT